AAGAGTTAGTGCTGGGCTAGGCCGAAAAATCAAAAGTTTATCCGAAAGCTTGGTCTAAAATTCCCGAAAAATTAGCCTTTTATGATTACATCGGCAATAATCCGGCAAAAGCGTGGATTGTTCAGAGCAGGCTCAATGGACAACGGGGATGGAATAGGCTGTTGGGTGGTTAGGACATCCCTATCTTTTAAGAGATAAAGAAGGGCGTGAACTTTTTTGTACGGGCGTATGCCATACTTTTTTTGAAACATTTTCCGTTTGTTTTGGTCAGATGGAGATGAATTGTTAGAGCCGAATGTTCCTTTTTCGCGAAGGGCAGAGTCAAAGTAATTGGTGGGTCGAACAAGTAGGTGTAACTGTTGAAGTTCTATGCTATGTGGCGAACTAAACGGAGTCAGTTATAGTGATCTGCTACTTCCTGTGGAAAAAATATGCTAAGACGCGCTCCAATTGGGTGAAATTTTTGAATTAGATCGTGCTATTTGAAATCGTGATGGTGTTTTTCGTAGCAGTCCAAGGGGTTGGTTTACTTTTGGACATGCTTCCGTTTTGCCTCATGCTCTTTTTTTCGGACACATTTTGGCACGGTGCCTCGAACTTTTGTTCAGGAGATGTTTTTTGCTGGTATTGATCCAGATTTAGACGCTCAGTGGAATTTGGAGGCATTCCAAAAACTTGGAGATCCAACTACAAGAAGACAAGTAGTTCTGATACAATATTTGATCTCTTGCTTTTCGCTCTATTTTTCTTTTTGAAATTTGACTTTGACATAGAGTAACCTGAAGACATCTTAATTTGAAGCACTGCCTTTTTCTTTGAATCTTGTTCTTTTTTTATCGCGGGCGAGACGAGTCCCAAATAAACAGGTATGGAAGCTAATAATTGGTAACCACGATTGAATTTATGGAAGCATTGGTTTATATCATTCCATTTAGTCTCAACTTTAGGAATTCATTTTTTTTTCGCTATCTTTTTCGAGAACCGCTAAAGTCCAACTAAAAAGGTAAAATGAATTTTCGTTATCGTTAATTGAAGTAAAGAGCCTCCGCCATTTTTTGGGAAGGCCTCTTTTACTTAACTATCCCCGTGTTTCCTCGAATGGATCTCTTAGTTTTGTTGAGAGGGTTTGCCCAAAAGCAGTATATAAGGCCATAACCCAGTAAAACTTAAAGTACCAAGAAGTATAGAGATGGCGACTAGAGTTGCTGTTTTCCATTATTATATTAATTTTCAAGACACAATGGATCTATGATAAGATCATTTAATTTACAAACGGAATGGTATATCAAGTCCAACAGATCTCAATTAATAAAAATAGGATTTATGGCTACACAAGTGTGGAGGGTAAGTTGTTCCTAGATTCTGGTCCAAGACGAACTGTTTGTAAAGGGGATTTATTGAAAACCATTGAATTCGAATATGGTAAACGTAGCTTTCCCTGGATGGGGACCAACTCCCTTGATGGGTGTTGGCAAATGGCTCTATTTGCGATATTCCCTATGCTATTATTTTAGAATTTATAATTCCTTCCGTTTTACTAGATGGATATTTCAATTTGATATTTAGATTTATAAGAAACCGCCTTTTGGTAGTTCGATCGTGAAATTTCTATTTCTGTATTTGCGGAATATGAAGTGGTGGACATTGTTTATAAATTGATCCTATTTGATAGTAACAGAGAGTGGGTTTCTGTCACTTCGATAGAGATGAATTTTTTTATCTCGTCAGGTATTTTATTCTAGTAATCTGGAGCCACGGAAAATATATGAAAAGATTACGAAGTTAATGAATATGATTCATACTTAAATATTCAATCTCGGTGGCCTGGACCTCCAAAAAATTTCAGAGGGTATAATTGAATATGATTTTTTTCTTCTTTCAAACTCCTTTATCTTTGTTTTGATCAAAGGACAAATCCTTTCTTTGGATTTTTACTCATTATATTTTATTCATTGAATAAGTGATGATACAACGGTTTCTTACTTCAAGGAATCCTTTGGATCTTAGTTTGAAGGTTTTAAATTAAATCATCGTGGGTTCTAGTATGAAGTCTGAGTGTTTCAATCGATTTATTAGGAATCTTAACAAGAAAATTCCTTTATTAACAATATATAATAAAGAAAACAAATAACAAGCCTGTGCTATTACATACAAATAAAAAATAATCTAATCAAGGAAAAAAAAAATGGGTATATAAAATAGAAGATTCAAGAAGCCTATAATTAATCAACATCAAGAGATGAATTGAGCCGAACCTTGATATTTTGGGCATTATACACAAAGAAGAAGGTTTTCGGGTTTTTCGATCGTCATCTTCAGAGAAAACTTGTTGAATTATAGGATTAAGAAGTTTCTATTACACCATCAACTAGTATTTGGGTGGTTCTGTTTTGAGCCGTAACGAGATGAAATTCTCATATACGGTTTTCGGAGGGGGAAGTCACCCCTTCTGGTTTACCTAATCTGCAATAAAGTTTATGAATTGGGTTCGAAGAAACGTCTCGAGATTTCAGGCGGATTGCAGATGATATAACTAGTAAATATGTTCCTCCCCATGTCAAACATATTTTATTGTTTAGGAGGAATTACGGCTTACTGCTTTTTTAAGTACAAGGTAGCTACGGGATTTTGCTTATGACTTTTTACTAACCGTCCGAACGCGTTACTGAGGCTTTTGGCTTCTGTAATACATAATGACTGAATGCTAACTGGGGTTGGTTAATTCCGTCAGTTCATCGATGGTCGGCAAGTATGATGGTTTTAATGATGATCCTGCACGTATTTCGTGTGTAAATCTACTGGTGGTCTTTAAAAAACCTCTGAAATTGACTTGGGTTTAATCGGGCGTGGTTCCTTGCTGTATTAGACGCATATCTTTTGGTGTAACCGGTTATTCCTTACCGTTGGGACCAATTGGTTATTGGGCGTCAAAATTGTAACAGGCGTGCAGGAACTATTTCCCGTAATAGGATCGCCTTTGTAGAGTTATAAGTGCTAGTGTGGGACAATCCACTTTGACCCGTTTTTATAGTTTACACACTTTTGTATTACCCCTTCTTACTGCTGTATTTATGTTAATGCATTTCCTAATGATACGTAAGCAAGGCATTTCTGGTCCTTTATAGAGAATATAGACCATAGCTATATTGTAACCAATAATTTATCTTATTACTTGGGGGAGGAACAATAGTATTTCATTGCTACAAATATGGATTATTGAAAAAAAAAATAAGACATGTATTTGGATATTTCCTTTCAACTACAACAATATTCTAGTATTTATTTGATATGACATGAATAGTTGAAGGGAATTCCCCGAAGAGAAAATGGATTATGGGAGTGTGTGACTTGAACTATTGATTGGGCCGTGCAGAAATATGCCTTTATCTGCTACATTGGAATTCACAACCAAATGTGTCTTTGTTTCAACCACGCGAAAGCCCCATACAAGAGGAGTAGAGTCTGGTTCGCTGAAGAGAATCTTTTCTATGATCAGTCTTAACCATGTTGTGCATGATACAGGCTCCGTAAAAACCAGTAGAATAAAAGGATGTTGGTAAAAATCTATATAAAATGGATTATGGGAGTGTGTGACTTGAACTATTGATTGGGCCGTGCAGAAATATGCCTTTATCTGCTACATTGGAATTCACAACCAAATGTGTCTTTGTTTCAACCACCGTGTAAGCCCCATACAAAGGATAGGCTGGTTCGCTTGAAGAGAATCTTTTCTATGATCAGACCTGACGATGTTGTGTATAAATAGGGCTCCGTAAGATCCAGTAGAATAAGTGATTTGGCATAATCAAAATTAGATTTTAGTTTTTTTTTTACTTTCTTATCTTAATAGTATGAAAATGCATTCATTTCTTCTGCATCGACCCGATTTAATTATACTATCGGAGTGAAACAAGGGATCTAAAGAAGAGCAAAGGCTAGACTATATTAGTAACAAGTAAATCCTTTGTATGTAAAAAATCTCGATATATTTTTGGGATAAAGGTGAATCGCAAGGCCTAAGACGACCCATAAAGCACTTGATCACGATCAATTTTGTACGCCTACTTGGGTATTGAGCATTTACCTGTAAAAATGAAATTCCTTGGAATGTATAATTGCAACTCCGTAAAATGGAATCGGGTAACTTTTTTCTTACATATGGAACCATTCATATATGTGGGGATAACATATAGATTTATTTTAAACATATAGAATATAGATTTATTTTATAGGTATCCGTTTGTATCCATTTGATTCGATTGACTTTTGCTTGAGCCGGATGATGAAAAATTATCATGTCCGGTTCCTTTGGGGGATGGATCTAGAAAAATTCACCTATCCTAATAACAAAAAAACCTGACTTGAACGATCCTGTATTAAGAGCTAAATTAGCTAAAGGTATGGGTCATAATTATTATGGGGAACCCGCATGGCCCAATGATCTTTTATATATTTTTCCAGTAGTAATTCTCGGTACTATTGCTTGTAACGTGGGCTTAGCGGTTCTAGAACCTTCAATGATTGGTGAACCCGCGGATCCATTTGCAACTCCTTTGGAAATATTACCTGAATGGTATTTCTTTCCTGTATTTCAAATACTTCGTACAGTACCTAACAAGTTATTGGGTGTTCTTTTAATGGTTTCAGTACCCGCGGGATTATTAACAGTACCGTTTTTGGAAAATGTTAATAAATTCCAAAATCCATTTCGTCGTCCAGTAGCGACAACCGTTTTTTTGATTGGTACTGCAGTAGCCCTTTGGTTGGGTATTGGAGCAACATTACCGATTGATAAATCCCTAACTTTAGGTCTTTTTTAAATTGAATCAATTAAAAAAAAAATATCATGATGTGCGTATCTAGGGAGTAGTCACTTCAAAGGCAAAGTGAATTCTCCCTAGATACATTTATTCAATTCTGGTCCGAATCTATGGATTGTGCTGAAGGTTCAAAATCCATTGGATTCAAAATTTTGATAAATCAATTTCGAAATGCTTTTTCTACTTCTTTTCTAGAATGCCCAATATTTGTTTTACATCTTCTATGCGAAAGTGTTCAATTTTCATAAGGTCTTCTCGACTGTTATTCAAAAGGTCCAATAATGTATGTATATTGGACTTTTTGAGACAATTATAGATCCTGGGAGGCAATTCTGATTGGTCAATAAAAATATATTTCAATGCTATTTCTTTTTTCTTTTTTGTTAGTTTAACTAATCTATCATGAAACGGAAAAAAAGGTAAAGTAACATCGTGTTGATTGTTTTCTAAATGTAAGTTTTCTTCTTCCGTATGTAGAAAAGGAATAAATAAATCAATCAAATTGCGAGAAGCTTCATGAAGTGCTTCTTTCGGAGTTAAACTTCCATTTGTCCATATTTCTAGAAAAAGTATCTCCTGTTTTTCATTATCATTCCCATAACAATGAATACTATGATTCGCATTTCGAACAGGCATGAATACAGCATCTATAGGATAACTTCCGTCGTGAAAGTTCTTTGGCGTTTTTATACCGTATCCTCTATTTCTCTCGATTTGTAATCCAATACACAAATCAATTGGTTCGGTTAGGCTGGCTACATGCTGTGTATTATCAACGATTTCCACAGAAGGTGGTAAGATGATGTCTTGAGCAGTTACATATCCGGGACCCTTGGCACAAATAAAGGCGTTACGAGTTCCATACAAATTCCCTCTCAATACAATTTCTTTCAAATTCATTAAAATTTCATGGACTGATTCTTGAATACCTACTATGGTAGAATATTCGTGGGGTATTTTCTCAGATTTTGCACGTGTAATGCATGTTCCTTCTAGTTCTCCAAGCAAAGCTCTTCGCATCGCAATGCCTATTGTGTCGGCTTGGCCTTTCATAAGTGGAGACAGAATAAAGCGTCCATAATAAAGGCGCTTACTATCTGTTCTTGATTCAACACACTTCCACTGTCGTGTCCGAGTCGAAGTAGAGACTTTTACTTTCTCTCGAACCATAGTAATATTATTTTATTTGATCAGATCATTGAATCATTTATTTCTCTTGAAATCTCTTTAGTGTTTATTTCTACACACGTCTTTTTTTAGGAGGTCTACAGCCATTATGTGGCATAGGGGTTACGGGCCTGCCAAGCCTATTATGTTGGCATAGGGGTTTATATCCGGGACGAAACTTAATAGTATAACCACCTTCTGCGAATAGCTCTTAATTGCCGCACTCGTCCGAGGACCAGGGCCTTTTTTATCATCACTTTCTTGCTTGTTGCATACCTTGATCATTACTGTCGAATGCATTGCCTTGCTGCGGTTTGGAGCCCAACAAATGGCGTGCCTTCTTCTGTGCCCCTGAATCCGGCAAGTCCGCGCGAGGACAAGAAATTACTCGACCCCGTACGTCTGTAACTGGTCACAATAGTGTTGTTGAAAACTTTGCTTGAACATGAAATAACCCTTATTGCGTATTTTACGCGCATTCTTACGTGAGCCTAAACACGCCCATTTTTCTGCGTGAATCCCAATTCTTGGTAAAGTTTTGCATATTTTATCATCTCATAGTTCAGAAGTCTATGGATATATCCATTTCATTGTCAAAAAGATCCCCTTTATTTTTAGTTTATTTGTACATGCGGAATCCTTTTAGCAGTCCTCGTTATATCACTTAGAAAGATATCCTTGTTTTGTTTATGTCTTGGGTTGAAGCAATTACTATAATTCGCCCCGCTCTACGTACAGTCGACAATTTTTTCACAAAAATTTTACGACAGAAGCTCTTCATAATTTCATATTTTCCGTCCTTGAATTATACATACTTTTTTTGAAGAAAATAAGTTTTTTTTTGAAATTGAAAGGAATTTGAAAGTTGAAAAAAAACTGGCCGAATTCAATTCAGCATTCAAGATCTTTCTTACGGAGTATCTAAATTAGATGCGCTACTGGTCGTGGATTTACTTCTATTATTTGGTAAGTAGATATGTATAAAAACAGACAAGACTTACGTTGGATCTTTTCTGGAAAACATTAACTCAAAAACCCAGTCTTTAAATGGGGGCTTGGAACATTACTATTGAAAGTGATTCAGTAATTAAACTTTCCCGAATCCCATTTTGTTCTTTCACCTTTCCCATCCAAATATCCTCTTTCGAAGGATTAATCGAGATATTAACTAATGCCGAGAAGGAAATTGATATTAGAAAATCTGTTCTTCTCTTTTTTTCACAAATACAAATTAGAAGTCTGGATACAATCAGATATCAGAAAGATTACAGTTATATTAACACAAGATTTCCTAACCGATTCTTTCTAGTCGAGCTTCTCGGTCTTCATTATTACCCCGAGAAGTAGAAAGGAATTTTTAACAATTCCCCATCCCGCCCAAAATTCTAGGGATAATTTTTTGATATTTAGGATAGATTCGTAGACTAGGTCGGCTGATTTCGTTTTTAAATTTAGACTAGTTCTTATATGGCCCTTTCATCGTTCCTTCTATGTCGTAGGGTTAAGACCAAAAATTTTTTGTTGCCTTCTGATGTTTCCCTGATTTTCAATAAAACCTTCCGTAAAAAGTATTTAATAATGTTTTCTTACAATTAGTAGATGCTATTCATACAGTTCCTTTTCTATTCATGTTCAGATTTCGTATAGAGGTTATTATTTCAGCAATAGAATTCCCTACCCATGAAACTAAAATTTATTATTTTTTCTGGTTTTGATTATAATCAACAATATACTCTTTTTTTTTATGAATTAATTATTTTATAAAGGTATATGTATATGCGTTGAAACAAATTTACTAATTCATATTATTCTATTTCATTTTTATTCAAAAATACTATAACTAATATAAACTATATAATAAAAAATAATAAAACATAAATTAGATAAACTATATAAATAAATTATATTAAACTATATAAATTTTAAATTATATAAACTATTATAAATAACTATTATAATTAAATAATAATAAATTAAAAATAATAAACAAAATATATATTAAAATAATAATAAATTAATTATTAAATATTAAAAATAATTATGAAATTATCTATATAATAATATAATAAAATTATTTAATAATATAATAAAAAAAAAACTAGAAACGATATAATAAAAACTAAACCTATATAATTAAATTTAGTATATGTTCTTATATAATTAAATAGTATATGTCATAAATATCCTTATATCTTATAATTTTTTATTCTTTAATTTTTTATTCTTATAATACTTCGGTGCTAATGATAACTATTTTTTAGTAAAAAATTAAACTGTTCTCAATCCCGGCGATTGCGCCACCAAAAATTCGAGTTCCTTTTTGGATTTCCTTCTTGATTCAATAAACAAACTGCAGCTATTATCATCATATCGTATTATTATACCGTTATCGCGTTTGAGTTCTTTACAAGATACGTACAATTACAAGCTCTTATTACTTCGGAATCTTTCTAGAGGTGAATTTGGGTGTTGGCTTCCTTGATCACCAGCACAATAACTTCACCCAATATGAGGCATTATCGTCGATTACTAGTCCCATGATTCGAATACACATCATTTCTTCGGGCTCCACTGTTATCTGCTACATTCATAATGGGTTGAATTGGATTTCATATCGTTTTTTTTTATCTTTATTTTAATGCCAAAGGAAAAAAGATATTTTTTTGTTTATCCAAAACAAAAAAGAACTTGTCGATTTTTTTGGCATCCCCAAGGTCTTTTTTCCTTTGGTTCATATTACCGAAATAATGAGTTGAGTTTCGGTACAGGCATTTTTATGATGCTGTTATTGAAATAGATTTTCTCGCTATATTTTTCTTTGATATATAAACGATGGATACTGGGTGCTGTGCGTATCAACCCGTGCAGTGCTGTAGCTAACGGGTTAAGTATCCCGCCTGGGGAGTACATTCGCAAGAATGAAACTCAAAGGAATTGACGGGGCCTGCACAAGCAGTGGAAATTACCACTGCTTAGCTTTCAATTCGCCTCTGACCATCAAATTAAATGTGAATAACCCGTCCTCCTCTCTTTGAAACAAGGGGCGCTTAAAGAACATATCTACCAAAAGAAATACGATTAGCTCGAAAAGCTTTTCCTTTCATTCGTCCTCTATGCTGTTTGTGGAATCGGGGCCTTTGGGGGTTGTAGGTGATGCTTGTTTCTCAAGCCCATCTCTACTACAGCCACTCCATCTCTACTACAGAGCCGGGACATGAGAGTTTCTTTCTTCATCCAGCTCCTCGCGATGAAATGATAAAAAGAAAAAAATTAACATTGCGTTTGCCTGAATAAAATATATACTTAAATCGTGGAATTCTTTGAGATTTCGCTTAATCTATTTACGGCTTAATCTATTTACTTAAACTAATCTAATTAAGATCTTTTTTTATTAGATAGTTTTTTTTTAGATTTAGTATTTTTATTGAATTTTGATTAGATTTAGGTAGGAATAGAATTTTATTATATATATTTTCTATCTTTAACTATAACTATATTATATCTATATTTATAACTATATAAATTTATTATAACTACTACTATATATATTATATATATGTAGTTATTAGTTATTATTTATTATTATAGTTATTTTTTTCTATCATAAGTTATATTTTTTTCC